CTTTCCATAATCCATTTGAGGAACGAGCGGAAATTCCTTTGGGTAAAATCGCGAGAGGATCATAGTTATATTTAGCAACAATAATCTTTTTCCATAAGCTTTCGGTATCCTCACTAAAGCGCCAAATCCATTTGTTCAACAACGCACGATTCCTGACTTTAACATCAAAGAAACCCAAACCACCATGAGATTTCGGACCACAAACCATATCCCACTTAATCCAATGAATACCTCTATCAGCCTTAACATTCCACAGAAAACTCGATATACATTTATTAATCATATCTGCTATGGATTTTGGCATAGAAAATAACGACATGTAATACACCGGCAAGTTTACCAAGACGGACTTAATCAGTGTAATCCTACCCCCGAAAGAGAGTAAATTTCCTTTCCAACTTTGAAGACGGGATCTGACCTTCTCCACAATAGGTTGCCACATCATTTTGTGATTTTTCCTATAACCTAACGGCAGTCCCAAATACAATGTTGGCAGCCTAGCCGAATCACACCTCAACGAGATAGCCCATCCTTTAATTCTTTCATCTACCACATTAATACCAAATAATTTCGTCTTCTGCAGATTTAATTTCAAACCAGCTACGACCTCAAAGATTCTCATAACACGAAACAAATTGAGGATCTTATCTTCATTTGCTTCCGAGAAAAGAATTAAATCATCAGCAAATTGGATGTGTGAAACAACTACATTACTTCTCCCAATATGCACACCTCGACACACATCGAGTGCGACTGCTTTCTTCAACAATCCACTGAGCGCTTCTCCAACCACATTAAACAAAAACGGTGATAGCGGGCAGCCTTGCCTAAGGCCCCTTTTAATTGAAAAATATTGCGATGGACACCCATTAACCAACACATCAATCTTAGGCGTCGAAATACACAAGTGAATCCATTTCCTCCATCTCTTTCCAAACCCCATTTTCTTTAGAATAAAATTCATAAAATCCCAGTCTACTGTGTCGTAAGCTTTGCTAAAGTCTGCTTTAACCATAACCGCGTCGCTTTTATTTTTTTTAACTCATCTACGACCTCATTCGCTATCAAGGAGCAATCTAATATTTGTTTACCGGCTAAGAAAGCAAACTGATTCTCGCCAATCACTTCGTTAATACAAGCTGCCATTCTCTTCGCCAAAACACGCGCCACAATCTTATAAATACTCCCCACCAACGAGATAGGTCTGAAGTCCTCAGGATAGACAGCTTGTAATTTCTTCGGAATTAGAGTAATAAATGATTTATTGAAGGAGAAATCTGAAATTTTCCCCCAATAAAAATCATCCAAAAACTTCATAACATTAGATTTCACATACATCCAAAATTTCTTGAAGAAGTCCAAACTAAACCCATCCGGACCAGGCGCTCTAGAGCCATCCGAAGAAAGAATGGTGAACCAAACCTCCTCTTCCGAAAAAGGCCTTTCGATCCATCTACTCGAAGAAGAATTGATCCTTTTAAACGGAATATCAAACTTCTTTAACGGAATAGTATTAACTTCGTTATAGCAAGAGCGAAAGTGATTGACGAAAACATGTTGGATCCCTGATTGATTTTTGAAGACCGAATCATGCACCTTCAACTTCGAAATCTGATTCGTATGACCTCTAAGCACAGCAGTGAGGTGAAATTTTTTTGTATTTTTATCACCTTCCTTAAACCATTTTAGTCTCGACTTTTGCAACCACTCTCTTTCCGTCTTCCTATACTCCGCCCACAGCTTCGCCCTAACTGATATAATTTCAGCCTGAGTAGCCTTATCAGTTGGGTTCACCAAACACAATTTTTCTAAAGAATCAATTTTTTTTTCATATTCCACAACCGGATCAGACTTTGAATTTCTTCTCGCTTCGACCCAATCCTTAGTCACCTTCTTGGTTAACAACAGAACATGACTCAAATCTTGCCCATGATTTGCGCCGAAGACCATCCTTATTTTATCAGCAAGGGAAGGGTCGTCAGCCCAATGGTTGAACCATTTAAACTGCCTACAAACCTTCTTCAGCTTCCCTTCACATAACAAGATAGGATTATGATCGGATAAGCCTCTATGAAGCGTAGCTTGCACTAGTGTCGGACTTAAACACACAATGTCAGCCGAAATTAGAAATCTGTCGAGCCTATTGGCTGTTGTACTCAAACCTCCCCTGAACCATGTAAAAACGCTGCCCGAAATAGGAATATCAACCAAGTCCCACTTTGAAATAAAATCTTCGAAAACCAGCATGGAACACGAAATGTTGTGAACCCCTGTTATTTCCAAGTCCGATCTGACAATATTAAAGTCCCCGCCCACAATAATCGGAACCTTCAGATTTTCTATAATGAGATTTAACTGATCAAAAAAACTCACTCTTTCGCCATGGGTATTCGGACCATAGACATTGATGATGCCTATTTCCAAGTTTAGATGCACAATCAGACCTTTCAACACTATAAATCTCTTGTAAACATTACTGCAACTATCCCACAAAGAGATCAACCCCCCTGATGCACCTTCTGCCGGAGCACAAACCAACTCCGAAACAAACCTACCCTTTAACCTTCTCTCAATACCAACAAGTAAGTTCACAACTTTAGACTCCTGCAACAGCACCACCCTAGCTTTATTTGAATTAATAACCCGACTAACTGCTCTAATTTTCTCAGCCTTACCCAACCCTCTTACATTCCACGACAATACAGAAAGACCAAAATCCATAAGAACCTAAAAAACACACAGGAAATTCACACCCAAATAACTAAACTCGGATTCAAGACTCACCCGAATGACGACTGGACGCTAATCTCTGGAGGACCCTCTTCCTTGAAGCACCAAACTGCACGCCCAACGTATCTGCCACTGCTAAGCATGCCTCTGCTTCAATATCATTTCCAGAAGGTTGAACTAAAAACTCTTCAACTGTAGACCCAATCCGAATTTGAGAACTTCCAGAAATTTTCCTCTTCTTTCTACCCTTAACGCTCTTCTTCTTTTTAAGGGATTGAGCACTAAAAAGAACCTGTCCACCTTTCTGCGAGATTGAATTTTTACTAGCACCCCCCGCTGCCTTACCCACAGCAGACTTAAAAATTCCATCGGAGCTAGGAGAGACTGTGTCTCTGTCAACCGGTGATGGAAATACCCGAATACCGCCCCACACAGCCTTGAATAGAAGAAGCTTCTATAATTGGAACTTCTAATAATCTGGAACTATTGGATACGTAATTTGACACTCCAAGTTGGGCTGACTCTCTATTAATATCCACAAATCCAATGCTATCATCAACCAACACATTCAAAGGCCCATCATTAGACATTATGGGCACCTCGTGTAATTCGTCACCGACAGCCTCCACTATCCCCACAGCAGAAACAACATGCGTATACCTGCTTTTCAGAAAACTGTGTTCGCACATCTTGCTTTTAATTTCCAATAAACTATCTCCCATACAGCCTGACTCGAACCCATCAACAGCAGCAGCTCCGTCCAGCAGCCTAGGAAAGCGAGCGACACCATCATCTGCTGGAGCAACCATACCACCTCCCGGCTTAGTGCCATCTATGAACACTCTCTCTTCTTCATGGACCTCCGTCAGAATTTTAATGGAGAAGACCCTACCATTAATGAGAACGGAACATCTATCCGGTACTACCGACGCACACTGCACTTCCAAAAGAATCTTGGCTTCATCAAAACGAATTCTATTTCTGGTTTCTTCATGAATAGAGACAACTGAGCCCCACAAGTTCCCTAACTCATTTAAGAATTTGTTACTCCACACTAACAGGGGAACATCTATTAATATAACCCATATTTTCCTTTTAAGACTCTGCTCGTACCCTTCTAAAAATTCTAATTCATCAAACCAGGTTCGGAGCCACTCATCTCTACTATCCCAGCACGCCTTACGCTCCAATGTCCCCTTAAACTGAATAACCACCAGCGCCTCTTGCCAGATACTAACTCTAACATCAAAACCTTCTGCCATGAATGCTGTGAGAATAATGTCCTCATTATACATCTTTTTGATTTTGCCGACCAAACACGACTCTCTCCACCGCAACTCATACTTAGGGACCATAATATTTGAATTTGGTGCAAGCTTATCCCGGTTTAAGCTAAGAGAGCTATCATCCGAAATGTTAACATGAATAACAGCACCCGAAGTAACTATCCCAGAATGCTGAAACGCTTTTGCCTGATCTTGAGGCAGACCAGCATCCTTCCTGCCTCCCAAAGTATCCTTATAGGACCTGGAATCTCTCAACGCCGGCTTCCACACCCTCTTCACCTCTTTCCCAGACTCATATCTGTTGCTTATTTGTTCCGAGGATTTCTCATGGAACACTTTAATTCTATAATCGTCCATTAACCTCCCATCTGCCCTCCGAACCGCTACACTAGCTTCATTCTTCCTTCTATACCTGACGAAAGCAAATGTGGATCCAACATATAGTCTTCTTCTGCTTCTGTAAGCAATAAAAACATCCACCACTACACCATACTCCATGAAAGCTTCCTTTAGAGTAGCCGGATGAATCCTCTTGCTAACAAAATTGACAAAAACAGTATGAGTCAGTAACGATCGATCGGCTCTCATCTTTGGTGAGTGAAACTCCCAACCAATTAAAGAGCAAAAAAGAAAAAAGAAAGATTTTTATTCTTCTCTTAAATTATTTGTTCTTCAAATATAAAGAAATTGAAAACATAATTAGATTATTTTTAAATATTTTTACTATAATAGAATTATATTATTTTTATAACATGTATTAATTACTATTTATTACAACATAATTAGAAAAAAAGGTGACTTAATTTTTTTTCACATTAATTAATCTCCAAATTACGTCAAAAAGAATTTAAGGTTGGATAACTTTCTTTTTTGAACTTATAGACTTCCGAGTACCATTTTAAGAAACGTTATGAAGTTGAGGGGCAATTGATATATTAAGCCTATCTAATTCACCTAAATTCAATCCGGGTCACGGGACCAGGAGGTAAATTCGGCCATTGAAGCCTCAAAAGAGAGAAGAAAACAATGTCAAACGATTCGCGAACTCACCCTATGGTTTTCGGGTTACCTTGGCCGGAACTCAACGACGGCATATTCTATAACGACGTCGTTCCACATTCCGATTCCGGTCATTTCTAAACTTAATCTATTATTCTCCTTTTATTTTTCCTTCAAGTTTATGTGATAATTGTTAACTGAACTTTTTTTCATATTCCTCCTTTTTTATATATGTTTATAGGGCTTACTTTAGTAGAATTTTACTCAAGGAAGTACAAACATTCAGCTCCTTTACAAGGGTAATTGTTTTAATTCATTATAAATTGTATAAAATTTTCAATTTCTTTTCCCCAAATTATTAATGATTGAACAGTTGGTTGCAGCGAATTCAAAATGGACAGGTATGTTTATGAAAAGAATGAATTAATCAATTAATACAAAACGGAAAATGAATTACTTTTTTCCGATGTTTGTTTATTTTCAGATATCGGTTGATGGAAGAGTCGTTAAAGATCCAAATGAGATTCTCGGGTATGTATGTATGTGTATATATATATATTAGTTTTAACAATTGTTTCCCTGTTAATTGTTTTTCCTCCCTCTCTTTTGGCAGTGGTGATTCAATTTTAGTTTACCATAGGCTTCCATGGAAAGAACCTGATGTTCCTTATTTGCTTGAAGTTTTGTACGAGGATGATGACTTGGTAAATTAAATATTTTAATTATTTTTGGGGAAATTAGAGTTAAATATGAATTCTCAAGTATTTTCTTTTATTAATAGTAAATCATGATTTAGTTCTACTTATAGTATCCAATAACACATGTAGGGGAAGATTTGGACTTTAATTTCCATTTAATTAATCATTACCGAAATCTCAGGATGTTTAAATTGATATGACAACTTCAGATTATCAGCTCTGGAGTAATAGTTTCAAGTATGTATAGAAGACGGGTATATTTTAACTTTTATTAGTTTTTGTATAATTTTGGGTGATTTCGTACCTCATTGTTATATTGAATGTCTTTCCTACATGCTGTTCTAGAGGAAATGAAAAGTTCGGATAAAATAGGAAGTAAGAAAACACAGGAGTTGAAGTCATCAATTTGTTTACATATCTTTTTGTTTATGAATTACGGCCGCAGAACCTTTTATTTCTTCTCTTTTTTACCATCACAAAGCTATGATGCTCAGATGAGACATAATCTTTTTGTTTATAAGATTCAAGTGACACAATTGTAACCTATGTTCTATATTGCTCATACTTTTTATTTTTCTTGAAGTACTCATGTCCAACACGTGTTTTGACATGAATTTGAAGATAATGACCCTTCAAATACATGGAGAAACACAGAAAAAATCAGACTTACCCATGTTGCACATCCGAACCAGAATCTGAGTAATATATATAATATTACAAGGAGATGTTGAAGAAATTTTCTATTTATCATTTTCCCCCCCTATGTTGTGAGTTCTGCACTTGGTGCCTAAATAGTTTGGATTTTACATTTTAGTATCATGGACGACTTTGCTTTTTATTGTTTTATGAACTTAAATTCTCTAGCCTGAATTTGTTTCCTTTAACTTCTACATAAAAGTACTCTGGGGTTTGGTTAAATTTCCTTATTCTTAATTTTTTGTCCCAAATTTGGTATCAGTTTTGGAACTAGATTTTGATTTTGACAAAAATCAGACTGTTTGTGGTTAGATTGCTTTAAACAAGCCATCAGGTCTTCAAGTTTTACCCGGCGGCCTTTTCCAGCAACGGACTGTTTTGACACAGCTTTGTTGGAGCATAAAGAAGCAGAACCCTCCCCTAAAAAGTCAAGAATCACATCCTGTTCCTGTGCATCGCTTAGGAAGGGGTACATCAGGTTTGCATACTCATCATCGCTTACTCAATATAGATAATACCACCAAGGCATCATATCGTACATGTTATTGCTTACTTGTGCGTCACCTAGGCATTATATTTCTTAACTGTCCTTTATATTTAGGGACTTTTTGGAGGATCTTATCCCCTTAATGATGTCCAAATATGTCAAACGGTTGTTGAACATGGTACATCAAGTAAAACAAATGAGTTGGAACAACATAGCTGTTAGCAGTTTCTAGTCCTTTCTGCATAATATTGACTGCTTCCTTCATTATTATTTTATTTTTTTCCTAATTTTCAGTTGGTTGGCTTCTAGGAATATTACTTTGTGCAAAGACAAGAGTTTCTAAAACTCGCCTTGCAGCATATTTTGCTGATGGGACATCTCTTGTTGGAGCTAACAGGTAGTAAAGGAAACCAATTGCCATCATACTAGTTTCCATTTATTGTTTTGCCTATGTTTACTCGGACTCACATGAGATTGTTAGATATAGATTTGTCCGACATGCTCATGTAAGTCTTTCCTAAATGTTTTTATGTATTTGGAAGGTTATTGGTCCCTTGGAGGATCTTATCTCCATATCCCATGTCAGATAATTTGTCGGACATAAGTGCCGAATACGGATAGTTCAAGAAAAATAAGAGTTGGAACAACATATGCTTTTGAAGTGAAAAATATATTTTTCTGTCTCTAGTAGCTCTTCTTGAATAAATAATAATATTTTTACAAGTTTCTTCGAAAATGTGTGTACCAAATTTTCAGAAGTTCAGCATCATGTTTCAGTGGTTTCTGTTGCATGTTACAGCAACAATAAAAGTAGATTCTAAAAGTGGCTTCAGAATTTACTCATGTTTTTCGGTTAAAAATAGTGACGTTAGGCAAAGGTGTGTACTCAGCTCTCAACTATGTTGTTCAGACTCAGCCACTCAGGTGTTGAGTGTTGGATACAAGTATATATCCAGCACGGGAATGGTCAGATTTCTCCAAGTATATTTCAAGCATGGGTAATTGATTGATGAGGCAATAATAACTGATAACTAACTTGAATAATGAAGATGGAATATTTTATTAAATCCATAGTACATAACTTGGGTTTAAGTGTTGGATATGAGCATGAATCCTACACGAATATGTTCAAATTTTCTAAATTTTTCCTTGTATTTCAGAAGGTCCTTGAAAGGTTATTCTATACTCATGTACAAATATGTATCGTATGTGGATTTTGGACATGGATACGTCTAGTAAAATTACAGCCTGAGCAACATAGTTGTATAAACCTCTTTCCAACTTTTAGCCATATTAAATTTCTTCTGAAATCCTTCTTACATGTACAGTAACAGGAAAGCTGAACTTGGTGGTACCAGGAAAATATCAAAGATATACCGAGCGCTTGTGACTGGCATACTTGATGAAGACAAGGTAAACATTCAACAAAACTTAATTCTCGTAAGAATGACAATGGGTTCAAATTTCTATTTATGTTTAATCCTTATAAATGTTCATATTATTATCGGTAGATTCAGTTATCTGTATCCACTGATCTTGTATCTTACTTCAAACTTTTCATGGCATAAGATTTTTTATTTTGAAGTGTTGTTTTGGTGGTGGTGGTGTGTTGGGGGGGGGGGGGGCTGTCTGGGATTTGAATCTGGGACTAAATGTTAATTGACAACTTGATAACAACACATGTCTTTTGTCGCTGCGCTGGTGGCTAGTTGGCAATGGCATAAATGTTCTATGCCAATTGAGTATTGCTTTTTTCATCACAGGTTGTCATCGATCAGCCAATTGGAATAGTGCGCTATCCCGGAGTGGCCAAAGGACTGTATGTTGCTTCACCCTCAGGTTTGTTTGTCTAACATTATCTAGAAAGTACAATATAGTTATAAACCATGGATTTAAAGGAGCAATACCATCTTTTCATGAAGTTTTAGTTGATGTGTTATAAGGCCCAGTCTGTGTTACTCAAGTTCGAGTGTGAGTGTCAAATAAAGGTATTTTCCGACGGGTATGATTGGAACTTCCTTTAGTTTTTTCATGTATTAGGAGGATCCCCGAAGGCCATATCTCCATACTCATTTGTCAGACATGAGTACTTCAAAAATGATGAAGCCTCGGACCAAAACAGGATCAAGTTGCTGTTTCGTGACACTGAGCCTGCGTATCTATTCTGTTATTGACTTGTCATATGTCACTCTTTTACTTGATTAGGGAAGCCTGCTTTGAGCAAGGTTGAAGTTCTCGAGAGAGATGGAAAACAAAACTGCACATTAGTCCAGGTATGTGTGACTATGAAAATTTAGGTGCTTATGTAGACAGATAAATTTGTGCTTTAATTTACTTATGCTAATGTCTTAAGTTACATATTTGACAGGTCGAGATTGAATCAGGAAGGCCTCACCAAATACGGATTCACCTTTCTTTCATAGGCCATCCTTTGTTGAGTAAAAACTGAATAAATTCAATCTTGACTGAAGTCTTAGAATTTTTTTCAACTTATATTATATGCAACCATTTCTGAATAAAAACATGCTACAAATGACATTATGTTACCCTGACTCTTTCATATCACCTTCCAAATACATGGGGGGAAAACCGCGTCAGACAACTCTGTCCAGTACATCCGAGTTTAAGTAACATAGAATGGCATTTCTTTCAAGTCCCATTGTTGTTCAGCTGATATATTCTTTTCCAATCAATAAGGTGATCCATTGTATATTGCTGGCGGCCAGCCAAGGTGTTTTGACTCCGAGATTGTAGAAGAAAGCTATGCACAAGATGGGTATGACATGTATCTGCTATCATTTCCTTCCTGATCTTGTGTGATTAATCTCAATTCATAACCATGTTACAAGCGTAACCAAAGGGTTCGTACCCGTTAACCTCGTTGCAGCACAACTTATTAGTAATCATTCATTACTTATAATCCCTAAGTTCTCATTTGCACACGTGGCCTCTTCGGAAACGAATCAGTGAACTTAGAAAACAATAAAATATATCTGCGTCGGACATATATTGATATTTAATACTATTACTATCAGCTCAGGATTCATTTGAAACGGTCTGGAAATTAGCTACTTAAAACTGCATTATATTTCAATTGTTGTTGTAGGGGGTACCTTAGGCCTACGAACCCAGTACCGGGAGACTGCGGCTATCACTTGCATGCACATCGACTTGTTCTCTCACATCCAACCACAAATGAGGTAAATATATAAGTCGTGTTGCACCGATCTTCATTTTTTGAAATACTTATATTCGATATTAGTATCGGATGAATATCTAATGTGACTGGTCTAGTTTCGTTTCGGAAAAGATTGTGATTAATGTGTACTATTGTAGTCTTTTAACAACTGAATCCAAATCGAACTAATGTCCTGGATAATTGAATTAAATTCTATGGGTTTGGACCGGTTTGGTTTATCGTATTTTGTGTAGTATTTAAAAAATTATTAATTTAGAGAAAAATATTGATTTCTATAACATGGGTTCATTTTTTCCCCATTTTTGTTGCAGATGATTTACATCACTGCACCTCTTCCGTCTGTCCTTCGAACATCGAGTGAGGCCAGTAGCTCATCGGAATCCATGTCTGTTAGCTCAGCTAAGTGAGAAGAACCCTCGGTTACCGGCCTTTTCTACTACGTAGTACGTACCCGGTAACGCCGGCCTTTTAGACTACGTACCCAGTAAAATTTATTTTTCATCGTTTGATTTAATTCAGGTCATTCAAAGTTCGAGTTAACATACGAATATTAACTTCAAATTTTGGAAATTAGTACGTGTGAACATACGAATATTAACTTCAAATTTTGGAAATTAGTACGTGTGAACATACGAATATTAAGTTCGAGTTAAAATTAAGTAGATTTGTTCTTAGTTGGCCTTGGGTTAAGTGTTAAATTTTTCTTGATATTTTTTTAATAAAATTCTATGTATGGTAAAACCTTATTGTGATATGCCTTACACCAGCTTCGTGTTTTACCCAATATTCAATTGTGGTGCTTGGTCTGACCAAATATTGACAAAAGGTATTACTGAATTTGAAAATGAAATGAATATGCGAATGATTCAGTAAGAAAAAGAAATTAAATAAGAGAAAAAGGTCAAATCTGAATGTGATAAACATGGAATATTGCATCAAATGGGACGCAGCTTTCATCTTTGCCTTTGAACTTGGTTCCATATTCATCTTGTTTTCATCTCCACGTTTTTTACATCGATATTTTTCTCGTTTAAGTTTCATTTTTCGATGCAAATGAAATTTTTATATGAATATTGACTTTTTAACTTTTTAAATACAAAATATATAAAAAATACTTTTATATATTAAATTATTATTTATTTAATATTTTTAATATAATTGTTCAAACCCAAAGTCTTACCTTACAAGCACATGTTTGAGCCCAGAAGAATGAATCCAAAATCTCACTTTACGAACGTAGTTGTATGAGTTCAATACCTTTTTAGGGATTTTATAATAAAATTTAATATATTTTCAAGGACTTTTGTCCTATATAAAGACGAGTAAACCAAGAAGGAAAACACAAGGAAATAGGTGAGATTTGGAGAGCATGATATTTGGTGGAACCGGGTACCTCGGCAGGTACATGGTGAAGGCCAGCGTGAGGTCGGGTCATCCCACCTTCGTCTACGCTCGTCCTCTCGACCCACACGATCCTACTACTTCCAAGTCTCTTCTTCTCAAGGAATTTGAATCCATGGGAGTCACCATCTTCTACGTATCTTTTCTTCACCCAAAAGAAACCCATAATTATAATTGCCATTCATCATCAAATCAGCATAAATTCCCCCATTATATTGATTGGTTTTTGTTATAATACACAGAGGGAGCTTGATGGGCATGAGAAACTGGTTTCAGTGCTTAAACAGGTGGAGGTTGTCATTTCTACACTAGCTGTCCCACAACATCTTGACCAACTTAAAGTAATAAGTGCCATCCTGGCACAATTAAGGTCACCACTCCTTAACAATCAAATCTAATATTAAGTGTTATTCATGTAAAAAAAGAAAGAAAATAGTTTGGTGATTATTATATAATATTATATTTAAGTTAATTATATTATATGTCCTCAAATTATAATTTTCATTTCAAATTGATCCTAGAAACTTTTAAATATTCTAATTTCATCCCCAAACTATGATTCCCATTCTAAATTAGTCCTTAAACTTTTGAACACTTTAATTTCATCTCTAAACTATGATCCTCTTTCTAAATTAGAGGCCAAACTTTTGAATATTCTAATTTCATCCCTAAATTCATACAAACATGTAATTAGTTTCAGCCATAGTTTAACCTAAATTTTGTTTCCATAACTTGGCCTAACGATTTTACTAACAAGGGATATGATTAGTATATACATATAGTTTGGGATGAAATTGAAATGTTCAAAAAGTTTGGGAACCAATTTAGAATGAATGTCATAGTTTAGGGATGAAATTGAAATGCTCAAAAGTTTGAGGATTAAATTAGAATGATAGTCATAGTTTAGGGATAAAATTGAAACATTTAAAAATTTAGGGACCAATTTAAAATGAGGGTCAATTTTTCAGTATTAGCTTTATTTTTCTAACAATTTATACTCTAATTAAGTACTAAAGATGTCAACCAATATTCAATATGAGTATGTTAAATTATTATGAAAATTGCAGAGGTTTGTGCCATCAGAATTTGGAAATGAAGTGGACAGGCCGATAAGTGCACTTCCACCATTTGAAGCAATACTTGCCAACAAAAGGAAGATCAGAAGGGCAGTTGAGGAAGCTTGTATCTCCTTCACCTGCGTTGCTGGCAATACGTTTTCAGCTTATTTTGTCGACTATATTCTTCATCCTCGTCACAATCCTTCTCAAGTTGTGGTTTATGCACTGGTGAAGCCAAGGGTATGCTACCAATAATCCATGTATGTTTATATTGCATTCGATGAAATGTTCGTGAACTGTTCATTTAACGTTCGTTTAGGTCCGTTTATTAAACTAAACAAACGAATTATATAAACAATTTTTTTATGTTCATTTAATAAACAAACAAATATGAATATAAGTATGTTCGAATCGTTTATGTTCACGAACAAACTCGTTTTAACTATTTGTTTATAAGCTCGTTTCCTAGCTCTCTTTTTTCTATCTTTTACAAAAGTAGAGACTAAATTGAAGATAGAGTGAACTTTGGAGTTCAAACTCTGAAGTCTAATAGTTTAAAGACTAGTGATGTAATTTCACAATTTTTCTTTGACTTGTAGATAAAAGAGTAAAAAGAACGTTGATTATGAACATTAAACAAAACGAACACGAACCTTTAAAAAAATAAATAAGTAGATATAAACATAACTTTATTTGTTCCAAGTCTACAACTATGCATTTTAGTCGTTGCCTCGTTCGTAATAGTAATACTAAATTTTAGTCGAACATGCATGCATGCAGTTGTATTCAACTACGAGGAAGATGTTGCAGCCTACACCGTAAAAGCAGAAACGGATCCAAGGGCAGCCGATCATGTAATCATCTACAGACCGCCGGAAAACATCGCTTCTCAGTCCGAACTGATTTCGGCGTGGGAGAAAAAGACTGGACGAACCTTGAAAAGAGTTTATGTTCTGGAGGAGTAACACGAAAGGCTCTCCGAGAGTGAGTCATCCATTTCATCTCTTCTCCTCTCATCTCATATACATACATACATATATACATACAGAACGCAAACAATGGATTTGATTTTGCAGCCTTACCTTTCCCGGAAAACATTCCGGTGGCGGTTCTACACAACATATTCATAAAAGGAGATCAATTGAAATATGAAGTGAGGGAAGAAGATATGGAGGCGTCCAAGCTTTATCCTGACTATAAGTATACTTACATTGATTAGTATCTTGACATGTGCTTGGTAGACCCTCCTCAACCTAAATTAGCTGCTTTCGCTTGATCTCCACCTCCGACAACTGCAGACTACAGACCTGCAAAACACAACTGCATACGGTAGGCAGAATAAAAAATAAATGGTCTCGAGATTCATTGTCGGTCAAACAGAACACACAAAGATTATCAAATGAAATTAGACGACCTTTTTATAAAGTCTATCTAACATCGTCATCCGCATAATAACCGAATACTTCAAAATATGATCCAAATACCAAACCACCTTCTCCTCTCAAGAAGGTTCAATTGTTGATCATTCCTTCCTCTATATTTCTCTTAAATTTATTTTATAGATTTTAACCATTTGTTTACATCGGTTATATTTTCATTTTCATAAAAAAAAAGATGGATGTTTTATTTGTTTTTACGATACAAATTAATCTTATTTCTATAAATTTTTTAGAGTTGGATTTATAACTACCTCTTCAATTTATAGTTATTTAACCATTTAATTGATCTATTCGTACTTTTGATCCTTTTAATTCTTTGTCTGTTTATAATCATCTAAAATATATAAAGTTTAAATTTTGATAAAATTAATTATTATTTTTTATTATCTTATGGAGTATGAACTATGTGGATCGTTGTTCGTCTACATTAATTTTTGGAATTGAATAGTCCTACACCCACCGAAAAGTTAAGGTTCATGTCAACTTCCTTTGACCCAATCAACAACAAGCAAACCCTCAATTAAAGTCTTTGCGCATTAAATGAAATTAGAGAAATTTAATTTAAAAAATTGACGCCGAAAACAATTCCTATACGAGAGTTTGAGGGAGGGAGAACATAGGTTAGGTCAGATATTAAATCCTAGAAAGATATTTTATTATAAAAACATTTGGTTGTTTAAAAGTATTTGAAAACGTTTCTATTAATTAAATGATAATTTAATTGAGAGGGCTTGCCTGAAAAATATATCATATTTCAAAGTAGAGATGATAGAAACCAAGCTATGTATTTGGGGTGGATATGGGAATAGGAGACCGTTAGTTTAAAATTTTTAAATTATTATATAATTTTTCATTTTCTTTAAATTTAATTTTGTCTCTTTCAAAATTTTATTAGTCCATATCCTTTTAAAATTTTAGAAGATTGTCTCATAACATAAAATTATATGTCAGCCTTTGTTGTGTACGAAGTAAGTGAGAATGGATATTTGACTAAATCCCACATAATCTAACTAGACTCGATCTTATAGGATCAATTTTTTTCTCAAAATTTGAGGTCGGGTTGGATTTTTGAATGATAAGACTGTGTCAGGTTCGAGTTTAGGATGAAAAATACCTGACCTGACACGAGAATAATATTATAATTGACCTTTATATATTTAAAGATAATTGTTAAAATATCCTATATCTATAAATATTTTCAATTATATCCCTATTTCATCTAAAAAAAATAAAAATCACACACAAAAACATATATATTAGTGTCAGATCGGATGCGAGTTTTTACCTTAAAAAGCGAGTTAGATTTTCGGTCAAATAATATGTAGAGATGTTATAGTCAAATTCAGATATACTAAAAACTCGACCCGACCCATGATTATGTCTAAACATCATTATATAAAGTAGAATCAAACCAATATTAACATAAACTTAATCAACACTACAATTCAAATCAATTTTTGTATAACTCAATTTCAAATATGATGTAATTCAAGAAGATAATCGAACCCTTTAAAAAAGAAGTCTTGTTAATATTCCCTTCCAAAAGAATATGGTACAAGCAACTTGCAGAAAACACATGTTTGTGTCATTTTCAAGAGCAAATTGTTTGTGTAAAGGAGAACCGTATTTTAAATAATATTTAGTTGGATTTATTTTTTTGTTCTTTGTTGAGTTATATCCATCAGAATGTTTTAAACAATATTTTATTTTAACCGCTTTACACACCACCGAGTATTGTCCTCTATAAAAGTCATAATTTCTTGACAATATTAACAATAAACTCGAGAGATATAATAAGATTAAAGTTGACTGAATGACAATCATATTTATTCAATTTTTTGGGCATACGTCTATGCAATAATGATTCTAGGCTTGATACCAACTCACATAAGAAGTCAATATATAACCCCTTAAGATAAGAAGAAAAGGGCTTGGTCAATCTTCCTCTGAACTCTTACGTCCTCGGACCTTTCTTCTTCATCATCTTTACCATCAGTCGACCGCTACGAACTGACCACTTGTTGTTCTTCGTCCAAATTAGAAGGGGTGAACCCTTACCAAAACGTATGTCCCGACGAAGGGGGATTGTTATTGTACATATAGGGGCCTCGACCTTTGACATCATATGGCAAGAAGTTCCACCCGCAAAGTGTGATATTTATGGGAACCACAGTAAAAGGAGTCTGAGTCATGGAGGATTAGAAACTCAATTTCAGATATGGTCTTGACAAGTCCTTTACGAAACAGTTGATGATCCGCCGGCAGTGTCAGTCCACATCAACGAATTCACTGTTAGAAGACTATTAATAGATAGTGAAGGTAAATGAGAAGCCTTCCGGAAGATGGAAGGGTCGCGGGAACAGTGCAAATATTGTGGACATATCTACGGCTTCTCCAACCACATGGTGGAAGTAAAATGATCCATCAAGATACCTGCTAACTTGGGCGATGGCAAGCATACTGCTACGATAGACACCAAATTCCTCATAGTTGGCCAACCTTGTGTGTCTAATGCTATTTTCGAGAGAATGCCAAATTGATATTGGCCACTTTCAGCTTCCATCGATGAAGGCGTACACGAGAATGGAGCAGGAAACTACAAGGGAATGCCACATGAAAATCTTTCAGCATGCCTCGACTAAGCCACAAGAGCAAGCTCCTGAACCCATGCAGGTAGACAAAGAATTAACACCTTGCATCTCAAACTAGAAAGTTTGGACTTATCTGGTGACAGGGAGTTCGAGTCTGCTGAAAAAAAGAATGAAAGCAATACCCCTATTCGAGGGGGGATAAAGAGAAAATTGCAATGGTTGTTGCCAACCTCCCAAAGCTAGAAAGACAATGCGAAGCCTTTGATAAAACCAGTCAAGAGAAAATGAGAAAATTTGTCCTCGACAAAATCCAAGGGGCAAACCAAGAAACAAACATACATCTACCGGTCGGTTTCATTAGGGAGGTAACATATCTGGAGCGGATCTCTAACGTCATTATGGTTAAGAATGCAAATGGCAATTGGAGATCATGCATTGATTTCACGGATCTCAACATGGCATGTCCCAATGATGGTTTTCCACTCTTTTCTGTCTATCGGTTGGTAGATTTTACAACGAGTTCATGGATGACTTTTCAGGCTGTAATTATAACACCCTTAATTTAATCTAGACGAAAACTCGATCGATGATACTATCAGAGAATATAAACCAGAATCATACATTAATACATCATACTTTGCTCATACATTATCGTACAATCATATTATAAGTTACATAAATGCATTCATAACTTAAACAACAAAGATTCATGTAAATATCAGGGCTAGGTACTAGATTGTAAAATTTTGAAATTGTAGGGGCTTAAATGTAAACAATAAAAAGTTAACCAAATTAATCTATAATGTTAAACTAAATCGATTTAATGAATCTTTAATAAATTGTGACTTTTAAGCATATCATTCAACATTTGAAGCTCATAGAATAACTTAAACAACAAGTGGGGACTTATATACACAATTTACCCATTTTGAAACATTTAGTATGATACCAACTCATACAGTACCGATAGTTGAATCTTGGTGTCGATACTCCTTGGCCTTTAAAATACCGAACCTTATTTCATTACCGATACCAAGGAATCGCACTAAGTTCAAAACAATTACCATTCAAATCAACATGTATCCTCTATATTCTTACCATTTGTACTCTTATAAACTTTTGCATTCAGAACATCATTCACCCATGCATTAACTGCACCTATTGAACCTTCACAAACAATTTTTGTGTGTGGATAATGTATATATTATTATCCAAGAGCAAAGCAACAAACAGCCCTGTACACAGAACCAATCACCGGAACCCCCAAGTATACCCCAAGACAATAAAAACAAAAGAACTAAAACAATCAAGCCCTATATACACAAAACAATCAATCATCCATTCCCCAAGCTATACAAATTTGTGAATCAAGGTTCCCTCTAACAATTCTAGAGATCTTCCCCTGTACAACCTCTCGAATCAATTCAAAAAGCTCGTCATTCGACCTAGCACCCAACCCATTAAAACAACGCCTATTCCGTTCCTCCCATATAAAGTAGATGCAAGCATTTCAAACTAATTTGAGGAGGAGAGTGGGTGGGGATTTACCTTTAAACATGGCAGCCACCCATTTTATTTCCTCTTTCCAGCATCGCGCCCTTCGCCTCATGCCACACCTAGCAAGGGCCATCTCCCAAATAGCCGCCGATACCACACAACCAAAGAAAAGATGATTGTGAGATTCTGCCTCAACCCCACAAAGCACGTACACACCATCAACAACTATTTCCATGCGTAGCAATCGATCCTTGGTTGTCAACCGATCAAGGGCAGCCATCCAAAAGATTATTGCATGTCGAGGAACATGCATAGGAAACAAACTTCACAAACAAAATCAAGGTGACATAAAATTCATATTTACACAATCAAAGACATATGTTACCATTTAGGAGTTTAAATAAAAAAAATTTACACGGATTAATCCTAAAGTAACTTACACCGCCTAGAATGTAATCTTGAACGGTTTATGAGCTCCATTTACCTAAAATTATGTTAAACAAATGAAATAAGCTTATATCTAAGTGAGGTAGTCTCAAATAACTATTAAACCGTTGTCAATAGTTAAAAAGATTATAAATAAATAATATCTTGTAATCACCCCAAACTATTCAAAAACATTATTAGTTATTTGATACAATAGTCAAAATGAAATCATTCTTTAATGATAACACTAATGATTTTTTTTTAAAATTTTGATGACTAAAGTGTAAACGTTTTATAAATTAATATAATTTACTCTTCCTTTTATATCTTCATATGATGATGATATGATGCAATTTTAAATAATCGGATTCATATGATTCAAGAAAAACTTTATATACTAATTGAAAATTGAAAATTATAGAAAATTTAAGAGTTAAAACTTTATATAGCAATTAGTTTTTGGATTTAAGCTTTTTAAACATTATAAGATATACCACTCTTAGATTATGTCCATTAAAATGATTAAAAATAAAAGAAATGTCAAATTTGGTTGTTAAAATGGATAAAAGAATTTAAAAATTAAATTAAATAATTATCAAATTCAATGATTAAAAATTATTTTAATATTTTATTTTTAAACGGACTTGCATTCGATCCGATTCATGAACATCAACCAACAGACTCCATTGGATATTGGATATTTGGGCTTGGGCCTTTTTTCCGACGGTGCCCGATCTTCTTCTTCTCTCTCAAATGCCTCAAGCTCTGTTTTTCCCCCTTTTCCCCGAAATTAAAATAACATAAAAAAAATTCAAGCAGATTCATAGAAGCTGAATTAAACCCATCTGAAGAAGGTTCGAAAACTGATTCATATACTTTTGTTTTCTTTTATTTCTAGTATAATTTTGATTCCCTCCTCTTTAAAGTGCAACTTTTAGCCATCAATTTGTATTATTTGAAAAATAAACTTGTTAATGAGTTGATAAATGGAAGAAATTAGCAATACCCACTTAACAAAAACATTGTATATATTTATTAGTTAACACGATTATGTTGAAAATTTGTTTGTTTGATTGATAACATTTTCTGATTTTTTTTATTCTTAGTTTTTACTTTAGTTCTTTTGATTTATTTATGGGTTTAGACAGATTTTAATTAGAAATATTTATTACTCATTATTTGAAACAGGGTAATTTGAGATTAGGTGAATAAAAGAAATTTGTTTTTATTCTTAATTATTTGTGTTTTTATGGGAAACTGATAAGGAAAAGTTTCCAATTGGAATTTGTTTCAGTTTATGAGATTCTGTGGTTCTTGTTGAACTTAAAATTGATATTGTTGCCCTGAAACTGGACTTGGATTTGGAAAAGCTTGGTATGTATATTGTGTTAGATATAAATTATATTATATAAACTCGAGGGTGAGCCTCGGATATGAGACTTTATCATACACAGAGTATACTCAATTTCTTGAAAAATAGCTTTTCTGTATAGTTGGGAGATTATATTCGAGTCCCCGTTTCCGTGTTCAAAATGTGTCGGGGAACAATTTTAGGAAAAATGAAGAGGCCGGATAACATAGGAATGTAGGATATAAACGTTGAAAGGGTAGTGGTAGGTTTAGGTTTTAGGTGGATTTTCAATCTTTTCCTTGAATGGTTACTTATATTTGAGTTCTTTTTTGGCTATCAAAACTAAATAGACAAGTAAAAATAGTTGACATTCTATTGAATCTGACATTTTTATACAGTTTGTTTCTTGGTTTGCTGAAAATGACATCCGTTGAGGGACATACGGCTGAGCCTTGGAAAACAAGTAATCCAACTGCTGACACTGCAAAGGTACAGAGTGCATCATCGTCATCATTCCGAAGGTGGGGTAGGAATTATCCATTTATCAGATATGGGCTTCCAATGATTTCATTGACCGTGTTTGGGGCAGTCAGTCTTGGTCATCTCTTGCAAGGCAGGTTTGTTCTGGTACTTGGATCTCTATTGATCGCTTAATTTGTGAATCAGTTTTCCAAACCACTTTAGCAGATGAGATCTATGTTCCATCTAGGAGTGAATATATCTGCTGCGCAGAGAACAGCAGATGTCGTTAACTTTGAGGGGAAAACTTGTTATGCTGTAGAGTATTGGCTCAGTTCTGTGTATGTTGTATTTCTTATGATTGGAATCGGACCTATATTATTATGCCGTCGGTTTCAATGGTGGTATTTGTTTGTTAATTTGTAAAGTCGGTGGAAAGAAATCCGATGTCTTCGTATAATGGGAAATAGAAAGGTTGTTTAATAGCTCGCCTTCGCACTGTACATATCTACAAATGAGCAGACATACATAAGAACGCTGTTTTAAGGTAGATAACCGAATTAGTATTTAAATGATATGATTCTTGTTTGGCTCATTATCCATTAGAATCTCAAGTGTAAGGTTCAAGCTCATCATATATTATGGTTTACTAGTTGGTTTGGATGAGCTTAGTTGGTAGAGCTAGATGACATTTTGTCTGATTTTCCGGCAGCATTAGGTTAGATGAAAATTCAGTTGCTTAACCAACATAGGTGGAAGGTGTTGATGCTTAAACGCAATAGTATTTATTGATGCTGTACTTTCGTCTTGCTAGAGTTGACATGAAAATTCTCGGTTTGCATCCGCGGTTGATGCTCCACTTGAGAACTGCTGAATATTTGGACTTCTATTTTCAATTATTGTTGCAACACCTCTAATCCATAGTGTAATTGTCTTCTAAAATTTAAAATTATTTCGTAATTCAGCAAGGATATTGCAAAGGTGAAAGATGATCAAGAATGGGAAATCATCAAGACGAAGAAAGCATTATCGAGAACAGGACCCATCGATGCATATAAGCTGAAAAAGATTTCATTGGAGGAAGAATTAAAGGTATATGAGAATTTTTATTTCTAAGTTATTCAAATTCGGGTGTGTGTTAGATCTCCATACCCTTGTTTAAATATGCATCGAACACAAATATCGGACACAGGCACTTTGAAAAAAACCCAAAGAGTCCTCGTAACTTGCCTTTTCTTTTATTTTGTAGGCTTTGCAACAGAAGGTTGATATAAACAACTATGACTACAAAGAATTCCAAAGCCAAATGAAGGCGACTCAGGCTAGCATTTTGTGCTCTCAATCCAAAAGGTTTCTTTCATAGTTGCTACAAACATTAGGATTTTGGTTTTTATTTCTTTTCAGCTGCATCTCGATAAATATTCGAGTTTAATGCGAATCTGCTACGAGTCGAGTCTATTGCTTATGCCGTCTGTTGAAAAATTTTAGAACACAGTTTTGGCAGTTGAGATTCATGTATGTAGTAAATGGTTCTGTATTCCATTAGAGAATTTTTCACAACATTTGTTTTTATAGTAAACGAGTAAACTTCTTTTACTACAGATGTTAATAGAATGTGTATTCAGTACTGTATTGATATTAGTTGGACTGATTCGTGTGTGTTGTATTCCTCAAGTTTCATTCTATCAAAATTTGATGTCTTTTTGGTCATTTTGACTGGCTTGTTTCGGTCTGCTTCTGTCAGTGTATAACTAGATTGTTTGATGAATGTGAATTTTAGAAGATAATATAATTTATAAACATAAAATAAAAAGCGTTGAAAGTATTTTATATTAAATGAAAAGTATGCACTTTATATATTTAATACTTATCATCAAAAAAATTCAACCAATAATTTTAATTTTATATTATAAATAAGATTATAATGTTAAATCATTATGATGATTGCTTTTACTAAATTAATTTTTAATAGATTATGAAACAAATAATTTGACTTGATAATTTTAGACGAAATTCGATCATTCTATACGAAGATGATGTTAAACAAATAGTTAAAGTACAATACAAATGAGAGACAATCACACAAAGAATAGTAAGTAATATCTGGTGTTACAAATTATTAATATATCCAAGTTTTAGCTATAATATATAAGCACGAGTTAATTAAAATATCACTCATGTAAATAAACTTATAATAATTATCGTTATTTTACATGAAAATCCACACTAATTGAAATTTATTAATACATTGAGTTGATTAACCTAATTTGATATTTATTTATTTTAAAATGAAACATAGTTATATATATACATGTACAAGCACATGTCAAATAAACTAGTTTATCGGGTCATAAAAATTCGTTTTTTTTTTCAATCTTATTTTAGTAATCAAGTATATGGGAAAAAGTTAAAAAGAACTTCTAAAATTAAACATTTTTCACCCAAAACAAATTTTCCTCCAATTTTTACTCAAAACCACATATATTTTTACACACAAAAAAAAAAACCTTCATGAGAGCCTATTTAAACCCTCTATCATATATTACATTAAAAACACAGAGAAAAAAACATTTAATTTGAATTAGAAAAGGAGATGGTTATTAAGAAAAATATGAGAATAATGTTGATAGCTTGCATAATATTAATGGCAGAAACGTGTTCAAGCCAAGAGCTTGGTCCATGCATGAAGAATTGCATGCCTTTCTGCTTGGAAGAGAAAGATGCTACCGAAAGTGCTTGCTCGGCAGAGTGTGAAAAGCATTGCCAAGAGACTAAAGGCAAAAAGGGCGCACTTGATCTTCAATGGGCACTTAATTGATGTATTTCTCTCTAATTATCATTAGGTATACCCATCACAAAAATGTTATATGCATATATATGATTGTGTTATAAAATAAATGTGATATTTATGTATCTTTTAAATTTATAAATATTTATGAATTTTAATTTTGTTTTAGATATATTAATAATTTTAGTTTTATTATTAGTTTACACATCTTTCTTCTTGATGTGCAATATATTTAACTTTTTATGCAGTTGCACCGACTATAATATTAATCGAATTAAATTTAATCAGCATTTATATTCAGTATTTAAAAATCGTAGATAAATAAAAAAAATGTTAAAGAAAGAATTATATTAGTTATAAGTCGAAACGATTATTTCTTTTTTTAAAATTAATTTATTTTAAGTTTATTTTAATCAAAGAATAAGCCTTTATTACTCATTGTATAAGTAAATATCAAAAATAAAGATAAAATAGAAAATGAAGATTCAAACATTTAAACATGTTTAATTATTTATCGGATTATAAATTTTTTTTAAATCTAATTTTTAGCAAACGAACGTATAGAAAAAGGGAAAAACTTTCTAAAATTAAATGCTTTCACCTAAATATCTCTTTCCCACCCCACATTTTTTACCTTAAAAATTTATCAAACTATTACAAAATAAAGAGATTATTAAACTTATCATTATTTTATAACATACAATGAAAATTTTATAAAAATTCAATAAATTTAATGATCATTTAATAACTTTCAAAATTTTAATCACTAAAAAAAATATTTCAACGTGATTTAATGATCATTTATGTACTTCATATAAAATTGCATTCCGTGTTAGCTCCGAGCAAGTATTGAGTACGAGTCCGATGTTCATATATACGAGAACTGATGCTCACATATCCATGTTTGAATTTAAATCGGACTACCGAACATTCATCTCGAACACCTATGTCTAAAATATGAACACGTCTATGTCCGGCACGCACTCGTATCGAACACACACATCCGAGTCCGAATGAAGCAAGTGTCAAACACGAGTGCCGGACATATTTTAAAGAAAATGAAAAATCCGAGTGACATGAGATTGCAGTAACATCGGAACATGAAAAAGACTCAATATTCTTCATTCAAAGCAAGAAGAAAGCAGTGACGGATCTCGTCCAAGTTTGGAAACTTCGCGACAAGCTTGTTTAGACAATCTTGCGTAGTAGTACCGGAGAAATGACCATCTCAGTTGGTAGAGCACAAGGTTCTTAACTTTGGGATCATGAGATCGAGTCCCACGGAGGGTATTTCATAATTCGAAGTTCTCCTATAGAAGCAGCTCTCAACCTAGTATTAGGGACAACCTACTATCCTACCTCCCCTTACCCCATTATATATGGGAATAAGGATCAGCTAATTGTGTAGTAGTACCGGATGAAACCTCCATCTATAACTCGGCCAACCCGGTTATATCCCCAGCTTTAGCAAAGAACAACACCTTTATCTGAACGGATGGTGTGGCTGTAGGAAGATTATCTTCCTTGGTTTTCACCTCCATCACATTAACAAATGGAAGGCAACATTGGAGTTATCACAAATCAAACAAACTGATACTGCAAAAAAGAATTGATTTTAAACCACAATCGGGAAAGGGGAAATTTGAATCGGATCATAGACCAACTACTGAGCCAGATACTCGAGTTCAGCATGAAGTATCTACTAGTAACCTTGATTCACGTAATACCAGGACAGGATTACAACTACATGAATCAGACGAACACTACAGCTCAAAGATTCAAATTAACGGGCCAAAATAAGATGTCATGATCGTTACTTCACCTTTATCTGAACGGATGGTGTGGCTGTAGGAAGATTATCTTCCTTGGTTTTCACCTCCATCACATTAACAAATGGAAGGCAACATTGGAGTTATCACAAATCAAACAAACTGATACTGCAAAAAAGAATTGATTTTAAACCACAATCGGGAAAGGGGAAATTTGAATCGGATCATAGACCAACTACTGAGCCAGATACTCGAGTTCAGCATGAAATATCTACTAGTAACCTTGATTCACGTAATACCAGGACAGGATTACTACATGAATCAGACGAACACTACAGCTCAAAGATTCAAATTAACGGGCCAAAATAAGATGTCATGATCGTTACTTCACCCCATATCGGTTTTTCTATATCAAATTGAACTGTCTGATACAGCGAAAAATAATCAATTTTAAATCACCATTAATATCCGCTTTTGATTCGGGGAAGGGGAAATCCGAATCGGATCATAGACCAACTACAGAGCCAGATACTCAAGTTCAGCATGAAGTATCTCCTAGTAACCATAGATTCATGTAATACCAGAACAGGGATTACAACTACATGAATCAGATGAACGCTACAGCCAAAAATCGATTTCATGGTCGTTATTTCCCATGATTTCGGATTCTCTATATCAAATCTTGTTCTACGAACATGGATCATTTACCCAACAATGCTCGTCCAAAAAGATATGGAATTTGGCATTGTTTGCAGTCTTGTGGTCTATATGGCTCCATAGAAACGATGTTATGTTTAACAATAGGAGTTTTTGAATTGATAGTTGTTTTGATGCTGCGATTTGGAGGTTAGGTTGCCGGTGCAAGTGAAAATGACCTAAGTGCTACATTCCTATCGCGGATTTTATTAGGGATCCAAGTATGACTGTTGGGATTGTTGGGCAGTAGTGTTTTTGTTGATCCTTTTCTCGTAATTGGTTTCTAGGGATGTATTGTTGTGCATATTGCCGAAGCGATTCTTCCTTAAAGGTGAGAAAGTGAGATTTTGAAAACCACATTATTTTTTAATTTATCTCTTTCAATTGATTTCTAATTTAAAAACCAAATGCAATTTAAAAAACCTATTGTTTCGAAAATTTTGGGATTTCGTTTACAATAGAAAAATATGGTTCAAAGAGTCGCCACCAATATTTGATTATAGTGTGATTGGGCACCCAAAAACGCTTTGTCATTTTAAATAAAAATTAATTTTAATTAAAACAACAAATTGAGGTATGTGTTACCAAAAAATGAGTTCGGGAGTCGGTTACGTGTGGGGAAGGATTAACACCCCCACAACGCCCTAAATCAGTACCTAATCGATTAATTAACGTCTGTTAACTTCCTAAAAAGGCTACTTTTAAAGCCTTTTTCACTTAAGTTATTGTTTGTTTAAAAGCTCATTTTAGTCATTTTAGGATCATGTAGTTGCATATAGTTGCATTTGTGGTGGTTGAGCTATTTTATTTTTTAATGGTGTTGTTTGAGGGAAATGTGCAGTTTGTCTATGGTGTGCAGGGAATAGCAAGAAAAAGGATTCTTTGGGAAGTAATGCCGCGGCATCATACGTTGCTAAAGCAGATTGAAATGCCTTGGCATTTCCGGCGCAGAAAAAGACAAAAAGATATTTCTGCATCAGGACAGCTGGCACTGGACAGCTGTCTCTGCACGTGAAGGACTGCTGTAACCGCCTGCCAGAGCTGCCAATGGACCATTGCCACTTGGAGGATAAGGTTCATGCACAACATGTGATTCTAGGGGTATGAGGGGTATTTTGCACCCAACAAACTCATCATTACCCCTAGATATTTTTTTATTATATATGACACCTCATGGGAGAG